CTCCATTATATTATAGGGCATATTATCCTTGACCCACATAGTTGTTGTTGTTTGGTCCATTTTCTTCATGTGAAAGCTATAATTCTTCCAAATTTAATCAATATTTAAGAGACAGTTGTCTGTGAGTACACACACACTAGATAGTATTTTGTATTACATAGCACTTGTAATCCAGTAATTTCTACTAGAGCCTAATATACTATCATCTTCAGGTATTTCTGGTGTTTGAAGTAGCCCCATTTAAACTGAGACAAGGTACCTTTAACTTTAAAACTCTTAAACATATGAAATAGCAGGGGACCATTGATTCAGCTTTTAAGTTGAGTCCTTACGTCTCAGTCTTCATTAATTGTTTAAAACGTTTAAACATGTGATTTCCATTTTTTGTTTTTACTGACCCATCTGTCAGACTCAGTACTCGGTGGGAGGTCATAATGTTACAGCTGATAAGTGCGTAGAGACAGTACCACTTTTTTTTTTTTTTTTCAGGATTGATTTCTGAAAGCTTTTAAGCTGGCTTCACATTTATATTATGACCTACTCCCTTGTTTTTTTTGTTTTTTTTTGTAAATCCAGAATGTGTGGTGTGATGCAAGACTTCACATCGCAAGCATCATAGCACCACCAGATTGGGCTAAAAGTCAAATTTAGCAGGCGATGGTTTGCTAACAGTAATCATGCACAAGAAGGATTCATTCCTGCTTTTGTGAAGAACATGGTCACAACTTGTTTGTCTGACACTCACGTGCGGTAATTAAGGTTAAAGTCTCATGTGTGGCAAGTTTCCCCTCATTTCCTTGTGACGCCTTCGGTAATAGAGCTTCATATGTAAATAAAGCGCCTTGCTCATGCATATGAGTGTTTTCCACGTGTATATGTGAGCGTGTGCACCGAACCCTTTGAAGTTACTCATTCACTCTATATTCCTTCTCTTCCCATGTCTCGTCTCTTTGAACAGCATGTAGGCATGATTATTAAAGCTGCTCTCTTTCGACTTCAAACATATGGGATGAATATGGATATGATGTGACACCAAGCCCTTCACCAACGCCCTGTCTGTACTTCATTTCCTTTCCTGTCATGCAATAAAGGTTGATAGGCTCGGCGTTAAACAATCTCTGTGGGAACTAAACCTGTCATTCACTGGCTTGTCTTTGAGCTAGCTAAGGCAGTTATTACGTAGCTTATCGAGAATGACATGGAGCTGCAGGGGAGAATTAGATGTGGAATTTTATTCTTATTTGACTTGTCATTCTTCGCTTTTCTTGCCGTCATTTCACATGCTGTGTACATCTTTTTCTGATGTCGTCCTTTCATAATTTCTTGTGTTGTTGAATGAATTTTTGCTTTATTAGCTGTTTTCCTCTTTCATAGTTTTCACACGAAACATGCAGGACAGAGACCACAAATCCTTGTTGTTTCTACTTTAAACTTTGACCTTTCGCAGATGATAATATATGTTCCTCAGGTGTCTGGGTGCAATTAACAAACCAGCAAAATGTTTGGTTTTTGTTTAACTTTAAGGGCCCAAATTTACCACTGAGCCTCAGACAGCTCATTTTTACTCTGGTATTCACTCTTACTTCAGCAGAACACAGAACTAAAATACCTGAGATGTAACAAGGCAGGTCTCTTTTTCAAAATGCCAACGAATGTTCTCGTAATGTGCAGAAGGCAAAATCTGTTTATGTGTAATTTTTCACATGGGAATAGATTGTGTGTGTGATCAAATTCTGTTTCTTAACAGAAATTGCATTTTGAGCTTTTCTTCAATTTTAAATGTTTATTTACACAAACTCAACATTTAAGTATATAGAACAATATATTGTATTTACAAAAAATACATATGTCCAAATACAATGTTTTGTTTTTTTTTTTAAATACTCAGATGTTGGTGGTCACTCTATTTTTCTCATGACTGCAGTTACTATATTATTTCAGCAGCTGATTAAGCTAATAAAATTTAGAAAATATCATGCATGCCAAGGTAAGCTACCTGTTCACCTTGTGTGCAAGAGCTGTAGGTAGAAACCTCATTCGGCCAGCAGTTGTTAACCACAAAACCTCTTTGCAGAGCATTAAATTTATCGACTTGATGGTGGTATTAGGCCTCAACCTGTGTGTACAAATATTACAATATCGTAAAATCTTTCCTGTTATTAAAAGTAGTTAGGCAGCATAATAAACCTACCATAATTTTTAATTAATTCACTGTTAACATCAACAGTCAATCCATTTTTTCACTGATCTCCTCACTGATCTCCAGTGACAGTTAACCAGACAACTGCAATTGCGTCAATAGGTCAGTCAATCACCTTTGATGTTTTGCAGCTTTTATTTGGTTATTGCATTGGTCTGGTATTGCTCTATTTTACTTGATTACTGTGTTGTTGATGAAGTTCAGCTATGATCTGTTTGCATGGGTGAATCCTAAGCAGTCAAGGTTTTTTGTTTAATTAATATTACCGTTTGTTACACTACTGGATAATGCATCAGCAAATGTAGGGTCAAACTGGGTGTGTAGGGACTGGATATATTATTTCTGCACAGAATTAAGTATGTAATTGCATGCATGCGCATGCATGAACAGTGAATGCAATTTACTTTGTGCAGGAAGGGTTGCTAGCTTGTGTCCATTTTAGTTTTTCTGTCCCACCCTTTCCTGAATCATTAGTCTTTTGCGAATATGTGGTAGTAAAAATGTATGGAATTACTTCTATAGGTGTACAATCAGTCAGTTGTTTCATGTTCTAGCACAGGGGTGGGCAACTCCAGGCCTGGAGGGCCGGTCTCCTGCAACTTTTAGATATGTCGACTTCAACACACCTGAGTCAAATAATGAGGTCGTTTGCAGGACCCTGGAGAACTTGATTTCACTTAGTAGGTGATTCAACTATTGGATTCAAGTGTGTTGGACCAGGGAGACATCTAAGAGTTGCAGGACACCGGCCCTCCAGGACCAGGATTGCCTATCCCTGTTCTAGCACGATAATAAATCACTACTTTTTCATAGTTATGTATTCTGGTTTTATAAAACATGCTTTAAACAAATGAGATCACGTTGTGACAATGACTAGTACTGCATTTTTCAGCAGATCAAGCAAAGGTAAAGAATTGTCCTGGAATGAGTTTTTCTAACACTTGCAGAAGTTGTATTATGCAAATGAGTCTGCAATTAAAGAAGGCTGCATGCAGAAATGAGCTGTTGCATCCTGCAAAGCTCTTCTGTCAGCTTGGAAACTGACTGATGAAGCAATAAACTGTTGATTGCGATATTTTTTTGGTTTATGCTTCTATATTTTGCAGTGTAGAAACATAATGTGAGATTTTTACATTGGCATGGCCGATTTGAGATTCTTACATTATGGCTACCATGAGTAAAGTTACCATACTTTCATAGTATTTACTGGTAATTTTTAAACAAATATGTAAAACTTGGTTTTATTTAAAACAGTGAAGCCACAGTTATTCGCTATTAAAATACTCCATTGATTACTTTAGTTGTATTAATAATGCATAAGTGTTATTTATTATTTTCAGTTTCAATAAATTTATCAAATCGTCCACAACATTAGTTGTATTCAAATAAATTTCCTTCATGTGTAGAATGTTATCATTTCATTGTTCTGTTCTTCCTAGAGTTAAACTGGGAGTAACAGATGTGCACTTTTAGCTTGCTATTGTTTTAAAACATTGTCACCTAATAAAAGTTTTACACACATTGATTGTCTACATAATTTTACCATCCAAAAATATTCCCAAAAGGCAGAATTTGTCTGTCTTGTAAGCAAGGGAAAAAAAAGTGGCAGCCTTATTTCAGCCAGCTGACTGACAGTGTGAGCAGTTAGGACCAGTTTTGCCCAGTTTTGCCATGGTACATACAGCCAGAGAAAACTTTGGTCACTTTGGTACTTTTCCTGGCATCTTTTAAACAACTACATCAGTCTACACAACTCTTTTAAACTGTGGGGAAGGTTTGGAGAAAGATTTCTGATGTTTAGAAACATACTTTTTTAAAACCACTTACACGCCTTTTCTAACCTCAACATTTTTGGGGTTAATGTGGTTTTTATTTTATTTTATTTTATTTTATTTTTTTTTTTCAAATTTATTTGAATAAAACACCTGACATTAATGACAAGAATGCCGTCATGTCTTTCAACTCATGTTTTGCAAATGTTCACCTGTTTAATAAAATCATCATAGAAAAAAATCAAAAACAACTGACTGCGTTCCTGAAAGAGGAAATTTTAGCTATGGGTTGTAAAATGTTTTTCAGTGTTATCTTGACTACAGAATGCATCAGTGACCTTGCTGACACAGAAGTACTCTCACACAGTGAGGCATGTACCGTACTCTGGTTATCTTGCATCCCTGCACTCGTAAAGTGCAAGCTTTTTATTTGTGAAAAGCATGCAATATTGACATGCAAAAACACTGAAATGAAGCACAAAAGCAATGACTGATAAACCACACACAGCACTCCCTGTTAGGGCTTGTCCATTCACTGATATTTTATTTACTATTTGTTTTTTCCTTTAGTGCTGTTGGCATGTTGTAAGCCCCCATGCCCTCACTTCCTGGCTTATGCTGCCCCTGCCTCTCAGCAGCCATTAGATCTGTCTCTGACACCATATGGCCTTCTCTCTATGTTGGGGATGTGTGACGACAGTCCCCACTATGCTGCTAAGTCTTCTGTAAATAGAAGCACAGTCTTGCCCTATTTCCTCTTTTCTGCATCCTCATCACATGTATTATTTATTTATTTTACACAAATTCTTTCTTAAAGATTAAGGAGTTTAGTTTTTGCAGTGATAAAATGGTGCATTTGCATTGAGATTTTATTTGCCTTTAGCCAAATGTCCACTAACATTACTGTGGTGAATCAGAGAAAACTACTATAATTAAAATCTTGAGTCACAGAATGACGAAGGCCAGCACCGTTACAGACGCATCTTCACTCCCCTTGGCAGACAGAGCTGCCTTTTGAGAGGATCATATCAAAGCCCAGAAACATGCAAAACCAAATGATTCTACTTATTTGACTTCTTTTAAACACAGCAGGAGAAAATTGTATATGCCTCTGCAGATGTCTTTTGTCTCTGCTGGTAAGGTTGTCTTACAGATGTTAACGTCGACGCAAGCTTGTAGCTGTAAGATTTAGTAGTCTTAGTCTGCAAGTTTTTCTTCCTTTCCTGACACGTGTATCGAGAAAGAAAGACAGGAAAAGGCAAACAGGTGTGTAGTAGTGTCACTGATGTGTTTCCTGTTTGTGTCTGGAGAAGAGCTCTTCGAGGACGGATCATATCGGAAGGTATTGCAGCACGCTATGCGTCTTTCTTCTTTTCAAACAAGAATATGATGCAGTTATTTCTGTTTTATTTTAGCTGTAAACTACATCTCACTGAAAGTAGTCTGGAGAATAGTAAGGAAAAATATCAGCCATAAGCTGCACTTTGAGTAATCGTAGTTGTAGATTTCTAATTTGTGATGGTGAATAAAAATCATATCTCATGTTTGGTTTGACTTTAGCTGTTACCAGCTGTAAGTAAGCCCTAGAGAACATCTCACATCTGAAGAGCAAATTCTAAGATGGAAAGGATATGACCCAAACTGTGGTTGAACCTTGACGTGTCTTCTCAGTTTCCTGTTTTCTTGCTCGTCTTGTTCCTCCAACTTTTGCCGCTGTCCCTTCTGCTCTCAGCTGCATGGCTTAAACCAGTGAGAGCGCTACAACCAGGAAGACAGTGAAGCTGCTTTCAGAGCAGTAGCAATACGATGTGGTCTTATATAAAAGGGACTGATCCGATTTCAATGACTTATTTTTTTTTTTTTTTATATTTCCTGATTTACAAGAACAGCTTACATTCAATACCTTGCAAAAATGTTTATACCTCTTGTCTCTTTTTTGGCTAATTGGATTTATGTAGACCTTCACAAATTATTGTTAATGATTTTCAACATTTGTTTTAGAGCTACAAAAGTGTGGCACACTGAGAATGTGTCAGGCATATTTTAGTCCTTTCTTCTTTCCAAAATACCCCCAGCATAGTCAGATTGAATTAAGAGCATCTATGAACAAGTCTTGCCAGAGACTGTTGACTGGGTTTAGGTCTTTACTGGGTCATTCTAGCTTAAGAAAATGCACCGATCTCAAACCTTTCATTATAACTCTGTCTATATGCTTAGGGTTGCTATCTTGATGGTAGGTGAACATCCTCTGCAGCCTCCAACATGTTTGCTTCCAAGATTTGCCCTGTGCTTTGCTCCATCCCTCATCTCATCACCTCTGATCAGCTGCACCAACCCTGCTGAAGAAAAGCATTCCCACATCATAATTCTTCTACCATCTAAACAAACTCTTAGGGTTGGTTTGTTCAATGTGTAGTGTTAATTTCCCTCTACATATAGTGTTCTGTGCATATTTAAATGTGCATATTTGTCTGCTATTTTCCTTTGTCTTCATGATGCTTTTGTTCATTACTGTTCCTTAACAAATCTCTGAAGTCTTTTCAGAACAGCTGCGTTTAAACTGAGATTTATCACTTAGGTGTTTTTTGAATGCAGTCAATTGCATTTGATTTCATTTAGGGATGTCAGATTAAGGGGGTGTAAATAAATGTCCACCACACTCTTAAGAAAACCTTTTCCTTGTAACTCATTATTATGCACTAATTTGTGTTAGTCTGTCACATTAAACTCCAGTTAAAAAACAGCATCAATAGTGTTATGTTGATGTAATGTGAAAAAGGTCAAGGTGTATGAATTCTCTTGCAGGGCACTGCAAACCATAGAACTGTGCATCACTTGCAGATCCTGACAAACTTAAGATTTATAAAATTATACCTGTAATTTTTTTATGCCATGTCTCAAATTACGATCCTGCGACACACAGATTGTTTCCAGATCATGTCAGTGTTAGCCTTCCATTTATCCACACGTGCCCCCTCCCTCTATCCTCATATGCTTGTGCAGATGGGGTTTACTGTAATTTTTAAAAGCCATGCAGGTTACACATTCATTTCCATGGTTTAATAGGAGTGGGATTACTAAGGTTTGCCAGGATATCCCCGACCTCTCTTCCACCAGCTCCATCATACCTCCCTGTTTCGTCTTTTTTTTTCTTCACATTTAGACATTTTGCTCTTTTTTCACCTTGTCTTGTCCTGCCCAGCGTTTCCCTCCTCCTGACATGGTATGACTGGGACTGTTGTTACTTTGGGATGTTCTCGTCTCTTTGGGTATGTTTTTTGAGACATGTGCTCATCAGGTTGGATGCTTTATGTACCATGTGAAGCTGTGTGTCAGGCAGAAAGTTATGTGCTCTGCTCTTATGTAAGCTGGTCTTGGCGGGGTAAAAGCAAGGGTTTAGCTTGAGGGATGCTGGCTCAGGTGGAGTGATGGAGACGGAAGCTATTTTGGGAATGCTTTGCTTCTCGCATCTACCAAACGCATGAGTTATTCACTCACATGGGTTTCCTGGTTCTGAAGGGATGAAAGGACAATTGTAAAGTGGGGTTCCACCCCATTTTGTATTCCTGCATGCAGTGTCTGCTAGGTGTGCTAAAACTGTAGCTGGAGAAAATATTTTGATTCCTTTGTTCTGCAAATATTCTGGCATTCATTGTTGGTTTTATTCACTGCCAGTAATCCAAGCCATTAGTTAAAAGGCTTAGATTAGCACAGCTACCCACAGCTCCCTGCATAAGTCTCCCTTCATCTCTTCTCTTATGTTAAATATTTCTACACATACAGTGTGGGCATCATCTTTTGATTAAAAATGGTCCAAGCATAAAAAGTGCATTATCTATTCTGGTAGTTACAAACAATGATTTTTATTTTAGATACTATGTGCTACTCACCCTTTGAACTTGCTCATTGCTGTGAGATTTGTAGCATTCTTTGACAGCTGTGCTAATCTGTCTGTCGCTTTGTATTTTTACTCTCTCCCTGCCCCAGACCATGCAGCCCTTCTGGCTCCAGACTCACCTGCCTTGCACTGTCCCAAGCCTGATCAAGCATAAGGGCAAACCCAGCAGGGACTGCTGAACACGACCGGGTAGAGAACCATGCTGTCCGGCTCCTGGCGTCGGTCTGTGGGGCCGACACAACCTGTCGCAGCCCCTGTGGTGAACCCCAGCGCGATGACTGTGTGCGGGGTACCAAGCGGTACGGTGGTTCTTGAGGCTCAGTATGACTACAGCTATCGAGGGTCAGACGGGCGACAAGTATGCATAAGAGAGGGCGAACGGTTTATTCTCTTGAAGAAGACAAATGCAGACTGGTGGCAGGTGAGAAAACATTGGTTTTTTTCTCTGGTGTGAATGAAAACATAGTAAAATAATGGAGTTAGTTTACTCAAGTCTATGCTTACAACATGAAAGAAAAGACAAATCCATGGGAAAATTTCATAGGAGTAGTAAACTGCTGCTTTTCTAACTTTCTCTTGAAGCAAGCTGTGCAAATTATTAACCTTTATTTAACCAGGTGAAGAATCCATTTAGACCAAAGTCGTTTTTAGGTGATTAGACCAAGAGCTCAACAACACAACACTTGAGAAACACAAATGACTGAAATAGGCAAAGCTAGTGAGATTTCCACTACAGATCACTCCTACAGCTACATCTAACATTTTTATGGAGTCTCTGATTATAGACAAACTACTCCTCCGCTCATGCTTTTGTAAAGTTAGTTCATTTAAACTGTCCTTAAGCTTTTTGGGCCCAGCCACTTCATTTACTGTTGTGTATACAATACTTTTTAATTCATATACATATAGATTAAATTAAAAATAGTTAAACATGAAATTAGTTTATTGTAACATGTTTATTTCCATGTACATCTTGTCTCATTTCAGCCCAGAATATGGCTATTTTTGGTTACAAATGCTCTTGAAACAGGAATATAGTCTTCAATACTTCAGTTCTGTTGAAACTAGTTATTTACATACACTATATAAAAGGACATAGAACCATTATTTCTGACTGCCTGACATTAAATCAGAATAAACGTCTTTCTGTTTTAGATTAGCTAGGGTTATCAAAATTATTTTTATTTTCTAAATACCAGCATGATATCACCTCCCCCTTACTTTGCAGTTGGGATGATGTAAATGTGACGCTGGTCATTATAATCATATACTTCAATTTTAGTTTTATCAGGCCACAGGATATCTCGCCAGAAATTAATGTCTTTGTCCGTAAATGCATTTTACAAACCTTAATATGTCTCCACATGCTGCTTTTAGAGTAACGGCTTCTTCTTTGTATGACATCTTACCTCATAGCAGTATAGGTCTTGCTAGCTGTTGATAATGACTCTCATCAACTTCACCAAATCATCTGTTTATGTTTTACAGTTGATACTCATATTTTGCTCTTAAATTATCTGGGACAGACAACACAGGCTGTTATAATTTCACAAAGATGACCTCATCACCACCCAATTTATTCAAAGCTTAAACCTCTGAATTTCAAAAAAATGGATAAATACAAACTTTTAAAAATTCTCATTATTTTGGCATTTAGAAAACTTGGAAAATTACAACTGGCGTTATATATGAGAGCTTTAGACTGATTTAATGTCAGACAGTGAAGGAAAACAACAAAAATGTATTTTATGCAGTGTATGAAAATATCTAGATTCAGCTCTCTTCTATAAACACTTCTCCTAACATCCTGTGCCTGAAATGGTACAACAGGCTTGGTGGTGTTGTGGCTTGGCTGAATGTATTCAAATGAAAACAGCAAAAGCATTGATCTTAACTCTGTTCTTGAACAGGTGCGCAGAATCGGTGCAGCCAGCAAAACAAAGCCCCTGTATGTCCCTGCTACGTATGTGACTGAGGTTCCTATCACACCGATGCCCTCGCCCCAGCGCCTTGTCACTTCTGTCTCGCTGCACTCCAACATGCTACCCCGAGTTTCGCTCTCTCCCAGCTTCACAGGAACTGGCAGGAATGAGCAGAGTCAGGGTAATGTTTGGTACCAAATACCAAGTTCAATAATAATAGAAAAAACTGTAAAAATTACAAACTGGAGCTGTTGTTGTTGTTTTTTTTTTTGTTTGTTTGTTTTTTTTTTCCCTCCGCAGTGAACAAACCCATGTTCCGGTCCATGGAAAATCTTAACACTTTCAACAGTGCCTTCCAGAGGTCTGAGAGGAACACAGTGGTGGGAGAAAACCACTTCCCCACCCTGCCTCTCTCTGGATTCACCTTTACGCCCAGTTCTTCCACCTCCCAGTCAAGTCACCTCATGGTCCCAGGGTCTCCTGCAGCTTCCATGACTCAAGCAAACTCATCAAATCCCAGAGTGGTCCCGACAATCACCCGGAGTCAGAGCTCCAGCAACCTGCCTGAAAACCTGAACGAGAACCCGTATGACGAGGTCGGGGGAAGCCTTGGCAGTCGCATCAACTACAAGGTCCCTAAGAAGTCCTGCAGCCAATGGGACGTGGTGGGGGCTTCAGGCAGGAATAACCGTCTGCAGGTAAGGGAAGTCAGGATCTAAGAAGAGGTAGAGATAGTTTACCCAAATTTCAGGTAATACAGTTTCAAGACTGAATGAAAAGCATGAACAGTTATTTACACTGAAAATATTTGAATAGATATTTGAATAAATCAGAGAAAATATAAACATTTTGGCTGAGATTTTGGGACGTTGTTGAGTCTTTGTAATTTCTCAACAAACAATGGCTTTCACTCAGGGATGCAAATAAACAAACTGTAGAAAATCTGGTCTTTATTTTAGGTTAACCAGATTCTTTTTCACTTAAAGCTGATTCAACCTATTCTTCAATAACATTAGATTTTTAAAATTATTTGTCACATTTTTTGTTACAAATTAATAGCATCTAAAATATGACTGTTAAGGATGATTTTATTCCTTTCTGACAGTTCATGCCTTATGAGACACCAGGTGGAGCAAGACTCATATGCAAAGCGATTGTTTTAGTGAGACTGAGAGAGAACGCAGAGTTACCACGCAGTTAGTGTCATTATTACAACCCTCACAATGGCTGGCTGCTGGAATCCAAATAGCGCAAACTGTCTTATCTTTTTTGTCCATCCAATCAGCAACTTTCTCTATTTTTTGGTTCTTTGAAGACTCAGTTTGTTTGTCAGACAAATCGGGTATCAAGCTCTACAGTCCTAAATTTCAGATTTAAGTTGTAGAGTGAATGATCTTTGTTTTTCAAGTAAAGACCTTCTCCTTATCAAATGAAGAACAGAATTTAAAGCTTAACTTGCTAAATATTTGCAGGAACAACTTAATTTTGACTTCTTTAAAATGTTTTAAGTAAATGATGCATACCATAATGTCGAAAAATTCAGCATGACATAGATTTAGCAGAGAAAACATTATTGCCAAGATCATCTAATCTATTTGCAAATAAGTACATTTGGCAATAAAGTTCGGTCTGAATTTTGAATGAGAACTAGACACTATGTGTTTTAAAACAGCGATTTGAATAATTTGGACTTCAAAAAGCACAATGTCTGATATTTAGCTCAACTTGTCTTTGTTTAAAGAGAAAGGAAAGAAAGCCTAATCATGTAAAAATTACAAACTGCTACTTTAAAAGAAGAAATCTACAAGAATTAGATTTGATTAGCTCTAGTTCACAAACTTACATTCTTTTTTCAATTTACAGATTCCTGTAAATTGTTTTTGCTGAAAGATTTACTTGTTAGTTGTGTGCTCACAATAGAACAAGAACGTGCACAAAAATATGCAGTTACCCAACCATAATTTAAAATTTTAGTTTATCATTGGTTTCATCTTATTAAGCTTTACTTTCTTTACTTAATTTTTATTGTCATCATCAGTGACGTCAGATTATAAAAAATGGGTCAAGCAAATCCATCACACGCAGAGGGAAGAGCGGGATTAGATTAATTTTGACTTCCTCTTACTGACAACCGGTAATTTCATGGATTTACATGGCATAGCTTAAAATATAATGAAACAGAGTCTGATTTTTGCAAATTTAGCAACTTTTCAGGGTTGCCTTAAACCAGATAAATCAACACAGCAGGGTTTGTTCTGCTGCTGTGTTCTGTAGTCATGTGGACTACAGAAGTCTTTTGCTTAATTTTTCTTATGTAACTTGTTTGTTCTGAGCAGAGTAATGAAAGCACCAAATATAGAGCAAGTGGAAAGAAAATTGAATTCGTCATGACTGAATTCTGCACAGTGCCTGGGCTCAGAACCAGCACCAGAGGCTGAAATTGATTTACACTTGGGCTCGTTCTTAATAATCCTCTTGGAGAAGCAATCAAGTTAGCATTGTCGTGACGCCAGAGCTTCCCCTACATTACATCAGAGAGGATTACACATGGCCGCGCTGGTGAAAGAAATCCAAGGTTATGCTTCTGTCAGCCGAGGGAAACTCCAACTGCTGAGTCTCCCAAACCGTGGAGTTTAATCTCTGCTGAACTGAGACCTCCGATTATAGATAGATGTGATCTCAGTGGAAATGACTCTGCTCTTTTTTTTTTATCACTCCCATTTCCTCCTCCCTGTCCCTTTTTTTGCATTTTCTATCTCTCATCTCTAAAAGCCCTCTTTATTTGAGACTTTAATACCAGTAAGTAGGATTATAACTCCATGCTATTCTGAAAACTCTCCCTGACCAAATGTTACTTTGACATTTCCCTGCCTGTGATGATGAATTTCAAAACAGATGTAATGTTCCTCATCAGTGAGGACTCTGTTGTTGAGTTTAAAAGATGTCAAAATACAAATTTGATATTCTGACATTTTCAGTATCTGTCGTACATCCAAATCTTGCATTTTTTGCCAAATTTCCTGCTGAAATGTAAACTGCAGGATATTTATGAGGATGATTAATTAGGAGGATTTAGTTTTTTTTTTTATACCATCAAACATATACTTACAGTCTCCTCATTTACTATCAACTCTGGTAAAGATTTGTACAAAGCCTTACAATGTGTTATTATTGAAGCAGCAGCAGATTTTGAAAAATCATTTTTTTAATTGACCTCCTACATTTGCTGTGCAACAAAATTTCATATTCAGAAAATGGAAAAGACAATATAATTAAAGTTACAGATATGTGACTCTTCTAAGTCAGGTAAAGACTGCAACAACACATCTTCTGACTAATACGTGCCTTTCTCTACAGTTATCAGAAAAGCTTAAAATGTCTAGTACTGTGAAAAATAAGATCGGATGGAAACCTAAATTTATCTTATTACTTGGTACAGTGAGGAGCAAGATAAAGGGGAAGTAAAAAAGACATGTTCAAAGCTCACTGAAAAATGGCATCTTTGGTTCTCTGACACTCCAAAACCGTTTATTTAAGAAGCCTTTATACATATATTTTCTACTGGCGCTAATAACTGTGGAATATGCTAGCAGGTTACACGATTAACCAAATACAAGAAATTAAAATTTATTCAAATAGGCATCAAGTTCAAACAAAATTAGCTTTATTTCAACCTAATTTCATTAGCCAGACCAAGTAAACAATCTTACAATTTTAAGTTTTTTTTTTTTTTCAATTTTCAATGTGTACCTTTTATATAAAGTTGCCTTTTCATTTAAATAAACAGCCTTTGATGAGCCTGAGAAAAGAGTGGAAACATCACCATTTTCAGAAAAGAAAGCATAGCTGTGGAAAAGGACGTACTGAAGAGAAAATAATCCACTTGCTTGATCAAACGGTGTTAAGTTGGTCGTAGTGGGAGATTCGTCCAACTTGATTCAGGATTTTTATTTCTACTCTTGTGTGACGGAGGAGGCATGGGCACAGCTGGAGAGAGTGAGAAATCAATTTGTCTTGTCAGGGGAAACCTGAAGCCAGTCGCCCTTCAGTCATCAAGAAAACATTTTGAAAGCGACCTCTGACCAGGGCCTTCAGGTGAAGATTTTCATATCAACACTGACTCATTTCTGGGTTTGTGTGAAGGAGAAATTTTAGGACAGCTTCTTTCATTTGATCCCACATGTTTATGTGAGCTGTCCCTGCTCTACGGTGATTTTGGTAAAAAACAAAGCAGAGGAACAGACCGAGTCTGAGCTCGATTACAGCAGTTGTCTGTCTGCCCCCAAGGATGGAAAAAAATCTTCAATGAAGCAAGTTTCTCAGAGCAAAGAGACTCAATACAACAATGCAACTTCAGGCTAGTTTTATCCAATATTCATAGTTCAATGATGTTTGTTTAAAATATATTTTAAATTATGTTATTTATATATGAATTTAAACTTTAGGGAACATTTTTACAAAACCAATAAAACACTTTAGATTTATAATTATTTACAGTTTATTATGTAAATCAGTAATAAACTATATTACACAGTTTTATATATTTCTTTTTATAACTAAATGCTTTGTGCTGTTTGGGAATGTTTAATAAAAAATATTTACAGCGGTACAATACTGAAAAAAAATGCATTTTCATTTGAATACTCAGTAATGTCAGTGATCTCGTTTGTAAAAGCAGAAATTTTATATGATTTAAAACTCTAAGCTGCAAGGGTTATAATGGGTTTTATTTTGCTTGAAGTATGGTAGGGTTAGTTACACAAGGGTTCTTTGTTGCTGGAACAGCAATTGAGTCAAATCAAGTGTATTTATGTATCACAATTCAACGACAACATAACATAATACACCTAAATAACAACTTTACATTACAGTGGTAAAATAAAGAGAAGTACTATAAAAATGTATTCCAGACTAGAATTAATCAATGTTTCACTTATTACAAATCAAAGGCAGCTCTAAATAAGTGGGCATTTAGTCTTGATTTCAAGCACTCAAAGCCTATGGACATTAGGTATCACTATAACATATAACATGCTCATTTTGTGTGCTAGTGAAAGTAAAATGGCCTGTATTATGTAGGGTGGATATATATAATATGGAAATGTTTGTAATTTTAAAGAGAACCTACTTTTTTGCCACAGAAATATAATTATGCATTAAATAAATACATTGCAACCAACTACGTTGAAAAAAAAAATCCCAGTTATTTTTGACTACTTTTGCTTTGATTTTATATTTATATCTTAGTATGTGATGGATCATTGCCTAAACTGCCATTAAATTACAAAGTTAGACAAGTTTAAGAGGTATCAATAAGTTTGCATTTAACTGTAAGGTTTAAAATAATTTCTATAACACCCATGGACTATTTACAATCTGAAGATTGAGTTACAGAACTGCGACCAACCAGCAAAAGTCCATCCTTTTGGATTTATGGATCTTGATCCCTTGTAGCTCTTGCTGCGGGCGAGCACATATTCCTGTAAGCTCTGTGTTAATCCAAAGTCCATTTATTTGTGTAAAATTGGAGTCCTGTCCAATGCTATTTATGATTTCTGTTGTTTGCTCATGTTTTGCATACTAAATGAACTTTTTATGCTCAAGCCATTGATATTTTTTTTCTTTTTGTTCAGTTTCTGCAGTTGCTATTGTGTACATGATGTATGGGGCGCAACATGTAAACGGGAGATAATTTTTAGCTCCTTAATGAGTCCACAAAACTTAGATGCACATTTACAGTTAGGAAAAACTAATAACAGCATCACTCCTTTTTTATCTGTAGCAGAAAATAGTAAACAAGAAGTGTGGTATTTTTGGAATATAAAGTTATTGCTTAACATCAAATTAATTTATATGCATTTTATTTTCTTCCAAGGTCCCTACTGAGACCTACATATCCCAGCTCTCCTGGCAGGACTCCCCTATTTATGCTGAAATGCAGCCAGAGAAGCGTCTGTCCCAGCAGGAGCCCCCCATCCCGGCTGTGGGTCAGCAACCTCTTCAGATCATGGACCTGTGGGAACAGTATTCTGATCCAGGCACAGGTAGATGCTATTATGTCAATAGCATTACCAAGGAGAGGTCATGGAAACCCCCTCGCCGGGCTCGTTCTCGGTGCACCAATCAGAGTCCAACACAGCAGGTACTTTCTGTTCCCTCTGAAGCCTTTTCTTTCCTTCTGCTGCTGAATGGGTCTTAAAGTGTGAAAAGGTTGGCAGGTTCTGAGCCAGATGAAAGTGTCTTCTCTTAAAGGAGAGTGCAGTGGAGTTCATGGTATGGAATAAAAGGCTAGGCTCATTTCCAGGTTTCTGTGGCTCGCCTGTACAAACACAAATGGGGACATTTTCAGTCACACAAGTCTGCATGTATACGCCTGTATGGTATTTTCTCCTTTTACTAAGGGCCAGGATTTAAAGATCTAGTTATTTTTATTGAGATGGTCTAGTTCTTGAGGTGAGACTCCTATATAACTTTAAGCATGACACATGGCTTCAAGCTTGCTTTCCTTCTTAATGTTAGTTAATTTATAATTTACTTTTTAAAATATGTATTTATCACTTTAAAAAAATTCCCTGAAAAACACGTTTTGCATGTTTGCATTGTCTTGTTTAAAGCTGAACTTCCACCACAGCAGTATGCTCAACGTTTTTGCAGCCTGTAACAAGTTAAGGATTGCTCTGTTTTTAGTTACATCAATCTTTCTATCAACTTTGACAAACTTCCCATATCTATAGCTTGATGCTGCAAACAACATTGTTACCAGTTGGCATGGGTGATAGTTTCATTTAGAGTTGTATGTTGGTTTAAAGTTGCTATTTGGGTCTCATGTGACCTGAGCACTTTATTTAACATGCTTGCTGTGTTAAATTGATTTAAACTTTTCCACTACTTTTTCCATGTTTGTTCTGTGATCTTGATGATGCTGTTTGCTCACTTATGTTCTCAAGAAAACCTCTCAGGCCTTCACAGAACATCTGGATCTACTCTAAGATTAACTTACACGCTTAGACTCTCTACTAATAAACAGACTTTTAAAGGCAACATGTTTCACTGGATTTTATTAACGGGTAAAAAAAAAAGAAAGTTGAAGGTGCTGAATGTAAATGTTGAGTACATAATTTTGCTTTTTAGTTTATGTTTTTTCTTCCCCAATGCTACTTTGCACCACCTTGTGTTGGTCTACTGCAAAAATTCCTATGAAACCTCTTCAGGTTTGTGGTTGTTAGAGACTAAATGTAAAAACTTTAAGAGCTATAAATTATTTCGCTGGGTAATATAGAGTGCAACTTTCTTCATCCGTGATGTTGGTCAAGCAGATGAGTAAACAGATACAGTGAGTTTTTTTTTTTTTTACGTCATTGTGCTGGGTTTTATTTCTCTAAAAACTTGGATCCTTTTTTTGACAACTACTTCCTTCTTTGTGGTATCATCATAATTTATTTAAACTGTGATGTAGGGCGGGCATTTGTGGCTTTTTTAGCTTTTAAAACATTTTGCAGGTCATTGGCCAGAGGAAACAAAATCCACTGAGCAAAAGTTCTCCAAATGAAACAAACAAACAAACAAACAAACAAAAAAAACTCCCTTGTTTGCTTTGCAAGCAAAGGAGACTTTTGAGTCAATTAGAAAAAAATTCAGTTTATTCAAAAATATTAGCAAATAAGATTATTGGTGTCAAGCCAATGATTAATTTAAAAATGAAATCAACAGTTATATTTAAAGAAGATAATCCATGTTTTAAGATTTGTGTGTGTTTGTGTCATGCAGGGCAGTCCAGCACAGGCTCAGACGTTACCCCGGGACCCCAGCCATCTGTCACTACCCCTCTCTAAGACGGGCAATGGAACTATGCACAGGGTAAATACTCTACTCTACTCTACGCCTCTTAAAGGTGGATCAAATGTAGCTGAACCACTTATGTGGAATTCAGTAGATTTATCTGGAACAGCTCAGCTTACATGAAATGTAAGGATTGTTTGTGTTTTACTGAGTCAGCTGCTGTGGCTTAAGTGGAAAGAACATGTGCTGTGGAGTGACTGCATTTGGTTTACCCGCACGTAAACACGCTTCAGTTTAAACAAAAGGCAAAAATGTTTCCTCATTCTCTTTGTCTGTTGATGTGTAGAAACCTATTTCTTTCTCAGGTGTTGATTTGAGTTGTGGAGAGAACATGAATTTACAATTGGAGATTAAAGTTCGCTGAATGGTTAGAAGAGTTTCAGACTAAAGTTATATATTCTCAGCAGCCTCCAAAATTATTTGCTGCTGAGAATATATAACAACTTAAGGATGTTGCAGAAATCCTAAAATGTATTTAGACTAATTTGGTTAATCCACAATCTTGATTTTTTTTTTTTTTTTTCATTATTTGAGTGTTTAAAGAGGGTATAAATGTGATGTTATACTGATGCCAATTACTCTTCAAAATGGAAAAGACAAGAGAACATTTCCTTGAAGTTTGCTACATAAATCTGGAAATGGCTGCAAGGAAATTGCTACTCGGAGCAAGATTTAGATCAAAACAATTCAAATTGTGACAGGCAAGTTGGAGCGATGAATGCTTTGCAGTTTATTTTACCATGCAGAGTGTGGAGAAAAAAATAAATGATGAAAATATCTCCATAAACTTTAGTGGACATAGAGGAGCATTTTCAACATTTCAGTAACTCTCCCATAACTACTTTTAATCACCAGTCCTCAAGATCTTCCTTTCCTCCACTTTTAGGTACTTTCCTTCTCCAACATACCTAAATCATATCAGCAAGTTTTAGCTCTGCAGAGGCCTGGTGATTAACCAGTCATTTGATTCATTTGTGGAGAAGCAGGGATGTATCTAAACAAGGTAGGAAAGTAGATTTCAAGGTCTGGACATTAGATCTATCGACATGCCATCAATAAAAAAGAACTTCTCTGTTCTACCCTAATATATGTAAACGTATGAAATTAGCTTAAAGCCTGTAGGATTTTTATTGAAACTGTGTGCTGTCGTCAAACGAGACTTAGACCGAAGGTTTCCGCAAGGTAGCCTGAAAGCATTTATATTTTTACAAGCAAATGCTCAGTTGAACATGAACACAGAGGGAACAATTACTGCAGAATGTTACACGTCGAAAACTTGCAAAATCTCACAGTTATATTTGCATTAGGAATCCACTTCCTCTGTAGACTCCTTCGCTACTAATTGTTGAAATCTGGTTGATTTGATCTGCGGTGACATCCACTGTTTAACATAGGAACTGCAGGAGATGCAGTATGCCTCAGATTTGAATATTCAAATCAAAGGGAAATTCTGCATGTCTGAAGTCTCTTTATCTGGTTAATAGCTGTGTCCCCTAGCTTCACCCCACCAGGCCCAAATCCAATGAAAAACCTGTGTAAACTCAAGAAAAAGCATACAAAAAAAGAGCTAGGACTCTGGATGATCTGGAGCGATTGTGTCAGAGATCCATTTCTCTGTTAGTTGTAAACTGAACACAGGCCTATTGGCCACAGGAGTGTTAAGGGGTGCCAATAATAATATAGTATAGAATTTGGCATTCATATTGTTTTTATATTTTTCTTTTTAACAGGAGGTAGCTTTTAGAAAGGTGTTTAGTTATCTATTTATATTATGTTACGTTTTCCACCAGCTATTTACGTATTTTTTTTAATAAACCCTCAAAATGCCTTTTAATTAGTTGAATCAAAGCTACTCGTCACAAGGATGTTTGCTATAGTAAGAAAATTTGTTTATTTGTTTACCAAGTGAGTCAGTAGTGTGCGGATATACATTAATCTTTAATGATAATTAATTTGATTCTTTGGAAAAGTCTCTTGGCTTTTTATTTGCCAACTTAGTGCTCTTCCCTGAGAGCAAACATTACAAAATAATAATAAAGTTGCACAAAATGTTTAAGTGCAAGTAGCTGTGCTCTGTCATCTGTAAACAGAAACAGCACAAACCACACACACACACACACACACACACACACACACATGCACGACTGCCCACCTCTTTCATGTGAATCTCCTGTGTTTGTGTTTCAACACCAGCTCAGAAGCAAAGATAGAAAAAAAAAGAGAAATTAGACATTTTTAGAAGGCCTTTTACTGCCCTCTGACAGAGTTTTCAACATTATTTTTTTTGGTTAGAGCGTAGGGAGCTCATCATTGTCATGCATTATAACAACCTAATACAATGTGAGCTGGTGAAAAGGAGTCAGAGCCTTTAGAGCCACAAACAGGAAGACTAGTTGAGTACTTTAAACCTGCATCGTCAAAAGAAATTTAAGCCTTTTACCCCAAACTTCCCAGTGTCGTAAAACTGAACATCTTGATAACAAAGGGTTTTATCTCGCAGTCAAGCTTGTGTGTGTTTGAACTGATTAATCTATAGTTTTAAATGCTTGAAGAAAGCAGCCCATGACGGAAATTGATCCATTCACCAAATCGGTGATGACGTCTGCGACGTAAATCAATACAAGCTGCATGATCCAGATTGCCAGAGATAAGCATTTTGCGTCTGAATGGTGCCTTGCCTCAGCATTGCATCAGTGTTTCAAATTTAATGTTGTTCATCAAGAAAAGTGCACAGATGATCAAAGCAGTGGTTCCCCCCATCAAGTCAGCTTCAGTTCTGCTGACCTATATGTGTCGCTATTTATTCTGTGCTACATGACGTGTAATACGTAGTGCATGCCTCATGGGTTTGTGAACCAGGTGTTACAACTAGAATGACCCATATAACGTGCCAACATGCAGTGCTCTAAAGTCTAGATTTTTATCTATGGAAATATCTTTGCAACCTTTTTTGCTTCGACTTCTTAATCAGCTCATCTGTGCTAGCTTTCAGCTTGACTTATAGATGATCCCGGGCTGAACTGAGTAGAGGATGAATTGATCTTCAAAGAGCATAAAACTTCACCGACAACTGCAGTCGAGATCAGCGTGCTTTGTTTGATTTGTACAAACCAAGTGATTGACGTAAAGGCACAAATTAAAAAGTTTAGATACTCAAAGGATTTAGAGCTTTTAAATAAGTTTTAGAAATGCATCATTCATGTAATGGGTTTGGATTGGATATGGTCATTAATAAAAAGAAGGTGACAACATTTTTTTATGACGTTAAGAATCTAATGTGAATTTTCCTTCAACATTAGGAAGAAACTTGGTTGCTTACTCACAAAGTAAACTCATAGCTAAAGAGTTGTAGGTTCAAAGTTTGTATGTTTCTTTGTCTATATAAGGGGTTTTAGACTTCAGACGTCCTCCTGCAGTCCAAAAGCATGTATGCTAGATTAATTAACACCTCTAAAAGTGTGTTTCCAATATTCCACCCTAAACCTCAGTCTGCTGTTGTGCGAATTTTCACCGCCGCTGCTGTCAGTTCTGTTTGCTGATGTTGAGCGTTGCCTGACCCGTTCCTGTGGTAGCTCACAGCTTTTTGAGAGTGCTGTTGGCAGAAAACACCTTTTTCTCATAAAATTTAAAGGCTGTGACTTTCAGTAATTAAACTTTAAACAGTTATATGGTATAAAGTAATGCCAAAATTGCTCTGATTTGAAATATTTCGTATTTTCCTTTATGACGCTTCACCCCAAATTTTTATGTTAAAACCAGAAGTAACACCTCCCTACCTCAGCTGATTTCTTCCTATGTGACCTATTCTTACCCTGGTAGTCAGTGGAAAATGTGGGGAGTAAAGAAAGCTACTATTAGAAGACGTTGTTGAAGTCAAACTGTGGATTGAAAACTTCTTTTTGGTATTAACGTGCAATTTGTCTGGTTCTGCAAAGAATCCTTGTGGTATTATTATAATAACAAAACTGCTGACTGAAAAAATAGCCTATATGATGAATAAAGAAAATCTAGGGTTTGGAATATATTTTATCTTTGAAGCAACTCCAGCATAATTTCTAAATAGTAAAACCATCAGTAGAATCTTTTTTTTTT